CTGTGCGGGGACACCACGGGCCTGAAACCCTGCCAGCTGGCACTATGCAAGCTGATGGCAAACTTCTAAAGATTATTATCTGCAACTGGTATCTTGGACCAAACAAAAATTTAAAAGATAGCAGATATGAAAACAGGAAACAAAGCTTGAACAACTCCTCAGTGAAGGAGTAGTCCTAACCTCTGGTAGCTCCATGAGATGTTTTACTTTATTTTGTGGGCTAAGTACAAACCACCTAATTTTAATTTTGGACTGTTCATCTTTGGTGTGGGAAACTAAGGTGGTTGATTGGACTGTCAATTAAATTAAAAAAGGTTAAAAATTTTCAACATACTAATACTCCGAATCACATTAGTATTGAGATCTTCCCAGGTAACTTCACAAATAAGCAGAGTGATAAATAACATTTCATTTATCTGTGCTAAAAACTTTAAAATCTAAAAAGTCTGCATAGGCGTCTATTTTTCATACTGTGTAACTGAGTGTATTGGTACTGAACCCGTGCAAAAGAAGGGCTTTTCTTGAAAATGACAGGTGTTCTATGTGCACTTAAGCTGGTTTTCAGTACAATTGGACTGCTTATTTGCATATTTAGTTCATGTCTTGTTGGAGATGTGTATGATTGGAAAGTTGTCTTCAGGTTATCTGCAAGACAAGATTTGCTCATAGATTTTACTCAACCACCTGGTACAGTTGACAAAAGGCAGGCATTCAGGCACCTAAACCACTCCTCAGATAGTATTTCAGCAGCCTTTTATTATAGTAATTTTATTCAATTTTTAAGACAATTGAGGTTGTCTATGACTAGTTTAAAATGTAGTACCACCTAGGTTATAAAATTTTATTTTCTGTTTCAAAAACGCCACCAGTGCATGTTAAAGATATTTTCAAGGCCATCAGGTTGCTGGTGATAAAATGTCATTAAAGTCTCATGATTTGTGAGAGATCACTTACCTATCTAACTATCCTATTAACCTTATTTTCCTCCCTGGTCCTTACACATTTCCAAGAAACTTGGCAGTGTCTACTTAAATCAGTATATAGTGGTATTTTCCCAAGTTAGACATAAGAAAACTACACAAATGGGTTATCAGTGTTGTATCAGATGATATACTGCATTTATATAATTCATTATTTTTATAGCATATTATTTTATACGCTACCTTTTAAATGGCAGGCAACAAAGAGCAGAGCAGTTTCTTTTATGCTTAGGAATGGAAACTTTGGCTTTAAGGAGCCTACTTCATTCAGAGCTTTTATTAGAGAAGTCGCTACTCCCTAAAGAAAGAAAACGGTTTTAGAAGACCTTTACAGAAATCTAGAACAAAAATGTATTCAAAGCCTTAGCCTGTTGTCATGCAAATCTAACAATATAGGATGATATCTAAGCTGCTGAATTGTAGAAGATAACAAATAATATAAAATAGGTAGGGAAGTGACCATGAATCATTTTTTATTTCATATTAATGTCTCAAAATGTAACCAACTATCCTTAAATGATTCCAGATAAGCTTGTGTCTATCTTGGTATTAAAAATCAAAGCAAAATGTACTTTTACAAGATATGATAAACAAAAGAGTCAGAAAATCCATCATATAATAGTGTAGTTTACTATTCCCCGCTGATGGTCTTACTTGTATTTTTTCAATTAAAACTACAAATATCTGTTATTTTAGAGCTTTTAAAAAATTCCTCTCAATTGCAAGTACACAATTTTTAATTTAATCTAATCTATTACTAAACATAAGACTCACATTAAAAACAAAATAAACTAAGTGGGATACACTATACATTGCAAAATCATGTTTTAAAATAGAAAAGCAAAAACTGGCCTGTTCAAGGTATCCAGCCAAGGGAAGTGCAGTGAGTAGTATGGGCTCCTTTACTGGAGGCAGTTTACGTGGAAGCTTCAGATTCCAGTACTTTTCTGGTAACCTAACCAGATAAAAAGTAAGTGCTTCCAAGATGTATAAACCGTGACATGAATAAAGATTAAAATGCAGTTAGCATATTCACCTCATAAACTTCAGAAGTTTTTCTTCACTTTCAAAAATATATACCTTATCTTGATATTTTGCTGCATACTCAATGTTGCCAGGCACCAAAGCTTCATATCTGAAGAGACAGAGCAAGAAAGACTATTAATTCACAAGAAATGTAAAACAACATTTGTGCCATGTAAATTAATGAGCTATTGGCAGCCTTCTGGTAATTTATAGGAACTACAAAAAAAGTAGCAATGGGATCATCCAAGTTTCCACCACATGACTGACAGTTACAAGACCTGAAATCTGAGAAAGTCTCTGCCTCAAAATCTGCTTATTACGGGGCTTTTATAGTGCTTCTTTAGAGCTCCTCTAGTTAGTGTTCAGGAGCTTAAGAAGGGACAGCACAGAATTGACTATTACAGTTCTACCTTGATGAGAAATTGCTGCACACTGAGGACATCAGTGGGACTTTATGGTGGAGCTTTATGGATCTCTCATAAAAATTGTAATAGCTAGTTTTGCATTTACTAGGGTTTTGGACATTTGAAGGCCTATGATAGAGAAAACTCAGACTATATCCAAGCAGTCTTCATCACAAAAGACTGTAAACCAACACAGATCCTTGTAGAACCTGTAGCCATCTGCGTTTCCAAAGGTGATTTTACTTGATTTCCAAAGCCACAGGCACAACATAGAGAATTGTAATTTATTTTCCTGACCAAACACTGAACATTATTAAAAAGTACTGTGAAAGTTTTTCCTCATTGATGTGTTAATATAGGACATGTAGTAGCATTCATATTTTGAAGGCTGCAGTGATGTACCTCTGTTTTCCATCTAGGTAAGTGACTGGACAGTATCCCTGCATTTCAGCACTTCTAGGAAATAACGCCTTCACTTCTGCCGCAGTCAGTTTCTTTGGTAGCATTTCTTGGGGTGGGAGAGGGTGAGGTGCCAGTGGTGGCACATAAACCTCTGGTCTGCTCAAGAATTTCTGTAGAAAAATAAATGTTTTTATAATGAACACTGTAAGATACTTAATCAAACTCCAGAGGACTGGATCACGCAATTTAGATACTTAGTTCTTTTACAAAACCTCCCTTCGTGTGCTGGTGCTGCTGTTGCTCTCAGATAAGTAATTTCTTTTCCAACCGACTCTCAGTTGAAGTCATCGCTATCCGCCCACCATCTATCACTATCCATTGCTATCATTAGCCTCTCTACCCCCAGTCTCCCCAAAACAGCTGGAGAAAGGAGGAAATGGTTGCTTTGAAATGCATGTTCGATCTGTGACAATCTGTAAGGGGAGCTTTGGTTTGAATGGACTCTGCTGCCTTTTGTCTGCCTAGACATTTGATAGCAGAAGTATACAGAACAAAAGCTTGAATACTAAATACACTAGTCTAATTCAGATTACATACTGCTTGTTTCTGTATGGAATCAAAGAATCTAAGCAACAACATTCCCTTTTCCTGTAATCCTCGCCTGACCTGCTTTTTGACACTTACGTCCAGTTGTTCCTGTGAAGCCATTTTATAATAGTGTCCTCGAAATTCTGCAGCAAACTGCAATGACGACGTTGCAGAGCAGTCAACCAATTCACCCTTTTCTGCAAGGCTGACGGGACAGTACTGTCCAAACTCCCCCAGCCGATACTGCAGCTCTTCGGGAGTGATACATAAATCAGCAATGCCAGCTGCTTTTCCTGTTAATAAAAACCAATTAATTATAAAGTTTTATTAATGAAAGACATAGAAACATCAAACACTTCTATTCAGAAATGTTACCATTTAGAAGACGTGATAATTTGTCATGTGAAAATTATATGAAATAATGACAGTTAAAATAGTATTTTTACAGATTGATATTAAAATGAAGTTGCAACCCATTTTACCAGTTAATTTTAATAAAAAATATATAGCACGTAAGAAATGTAATAATTATTAATAATGTGGGATACTCTGTATGTTTAACTTATTAGTCTGTTTTCACTGGGACAGTTTTATTTCTGATTGATTGTTTTATTCCTTTGTGTTGCTAAGGAGTGTTTCAGCTATTATTTTATTTCTTTACATTGGTGAAAAAGAGTACAAGGTGTGATGAAAACCTCACATTTATTCACCCCTGTCTTGCAAATGATTGCTTTGAAATGAATGCCCATCTGGATGAAATATATTCAAAATCTTGAATAAAATGTCATATAAAACCCAAACTATTTAAAAACTTTGTTTTTCAAGCTTGATATGAAAAAGTTAAATATATTTTAATTTTTTTTTGGCTTACGGCTGCAGTTTTTCAGAAGGGTGCAGAGCTGTAAAAGTTAAAACCAAAAGGTGGATATAAAGTAAGGAAGTCTGTTTGCCCTTTAGAGGAATTCTAGTCAAATTGTACAGGCATGTTTAAAAGGCATATTTAATCCTGACCAATGTTGACACATTCAAGTGGGAACTGTGCCAGTTTAGCCTAAAGTGGTTTTCCTCCCACACCACAGAAATTAACTCCAATGACATATTTAACCTTAATTCTGAACTTAGAACATTTTCCCCTTCCTTCCTTCTTCCTCCACTGACACTTAAGTGAAGTTGCGAGTCATAGTTCCCCTGGTATACTTTGGGGTACCCATTGTGATTTATCACCCAATGTTGAGGAACCTGCCATAGACCATGAGACCTCTGACTTCTTTCAGCTGTATTATATTACCCTCTTCTTTGGAAGACGGCCTCATACTGTCCTGTAGTTGGTTTTGTCGTTGCTCTCTTCAAGATCTCTCCAGATGAGATCGAAGAATTTGAGGGCATGTACGTGCCCAAGAATTGGCCTCATCCAAAGCAAGTTGAAGTTGAAATGCACTCATTACATTGCAGCTTCTTAAGGAAACAAATATTATTCTGAGAAACTTTATTTTTCTTTTACCTTCTCTTATTCTTTCCAGGTATATCTGGATTTCTTTAACAACCACTTGAACTTCCTGCAGTACTTTGTTCCAGATCCACCACTTGCTCTGAAAGGCATCAATCACACACCAATTCTGGTGCTCCCTCGTATAGTAAGTCCTAATTTCATCAATGTGCTGTTTATAGCAGGAATTTTTAATAGCTAGAATCTGTGAGCTGTCATGTTCCGGGTAGGGAGGTCTGAAGACAGTGAAAAACAAAACTGGTTTAATATGAGGCTGAAGATTAGATAATTTAATTAAATTTCAGGTGTAAATTATAGAGTTCATTTAAGTCCTTTTTACAAAATTCTGCTTATCTGAAACTGTAGAACATATTTGAGAAATAAAACTTTCTTAAGAATGTTGCCAGTTACTTGTGAAAAGCAGCGTATTTATGATCAGACAGTTATGTTCAGAAACAAAGAACAAAACTTTTGCTATTTATGTCCCAAATACAACTCAATAATTTTGTAAAGGATTTGGAACATATGAGCACATATTAACTGACACACACAACCAATACACCATTAAATGGTACCCTAGACAAAATGCTATGAGACTTTTAAAAGGGAAATCAATTTCTTGTTGAAAAACTGGCTTAATTTTGGATTATGGTGTTGTCTGAAATCAAGAAGTAGCCATAATCCTTGGATATATTTTGAAAACTGTCATATCTACATATACGTAAAGGAAAATAATACATCTGACCTCTAAAAATATAATGCAAGACCAGAAGAGGTATTTTGACTAGAACATAGAAGCATTTCCTGTTCTGGTTCTTAATCTAAATTATGCCAAGAACCCCCCAAACCCCTTCTGTTTTAATAGGAATTATTTCTCTGTAAGTTGTACCTTCCAGAAATATCTGGTATTGCACATTTGATCTGTATTTAACCTTATGAAATGTAATTAGTTTGATATTTCAAATGAAAAGTTTAAAGCAAATACTTTAAAAAGACAGCATTAATCTAATTTTTTTGCAATGCAAATTGTCTTTAGGCTTTCAGTAAACAATTAAGCATTGTGCTGATTACTTGATAAAAAGACAAAATGAAAGAGACATGCAATAATGCTCTAAGCTATCTGGAACTTCTTAGAAGCACTTCCTCTAATGAGAACCAGGTTCTTATACAATTTAATTTTAAGGTGAATGTTCTGTTCTTTTTAATTCTCTGTCCATTTATAAACTACTTACTGCTCTTCCTCAAAAACAACCAACAGCTCCTTAACCAGAATATTTATCTCCTTAGGAAAACAAAGGAGGGAGTGAGCTGAATTGAAAGGTTTAGATGAGTAACTAACTCATGAATTGTATACATTATTAAAATATACATTGTTTCCATCTTTTAAAAAGAACTCCAATTAGGACTTACAAGAGAGCTTATTAGATGAAGTATAATTTCCCTTATGATGATAATAATTGAATTGATGAATAATAAACTTCATCAGCAGAGCGAACTAGCAACATTTCTGATGTACGCTTTCGTTAAAACTAACTTAACAAGCAGTGGGTGCACAACATCGCACATCTGTGATCTCAATCATGCAATCGGGGGATCTGGCCAGAACATGCCACATATTCCTTATGTCTCCATTTCTGGTCGATGGAAAACAAAGCATTAGAGTGTAGAGGGACTGGTGCCCATGTCTTTTCATATGTGGAGTTTGGGGACAGCTGGCTTATGCACCAGCTTAGATACAGCCTCTCTGGGTCCAACACTGAGGCACATAAATAGAGAAATGACAATATCATGTGGATAAAAATACTGTTGCAAGGGAGCATCACTACCTATTCATGCTTTCCTTATCCAGCAGTGCTCTTCTGAACACTTCCTTTGCATCCATTTCTAATTCAAAGATTTTCACTGGAATTATCCTAGCTGATTCCAAGAGGTTTACTTGTTTTCTTGTTACAGGATATCCATCAATTACGACTCTGCATACAAAGAGAAACAGTTTTCCTAAGAAGTCAGTTTCTGTAACCATTAAGGCTATGTATATTCCTAGTACATTCTCAATAGAGATAGAAGTCTGTGCCCATGCCATGAAGTTGCTGGAGCCCAGACTTGATAGACAGTCTTCACTCCCAAGAATTTATAATCAATTTAAAAAAAAATCAAGAAGGTAGAATAAGAGTAAAGAAAATACACAAAGGGCAAAAGGTATAGGAATGTAAGTGGATGGCTGTGACTTATAAAAATGGTGGACTTTTAAAATTCTGACTCATCAATCATTCAGAAATGTAATTTTAACTATGGGAAATCTCCATATGGATTGGAAGGAGTAGTTTTCAAAGTGAAAAGTAAAATGATTTACAATACTTGAAAAGGTTTTAAAATAATATTGAAGAAATGCTTTTCACATATTAGGCAATACTGGGGCAAAATATACTGAAACAATATTCCAGTATTTAACATGAAAGAAAAGTTGAAAGAATTCTGATCTCAAGCTCAGATAATTTTCATATATTATTCCAGAATTGCCTTTCCCTGTAACAATTCTCCTTTTTGGGGAGAGGAGTTGAGTGTCATGAAATCATGATCAGGAAGCTTTTAAAGTCTGCCCAGTTTGGAAGATTTTTCAATGGTGGAAAAGGAGCCTAGGAAATCAAGATCAGATATGGATAAGGTGTAAAGACTCATGGGTTTAAATTCTTCCTTAATAACTTCAGTTGTTAACAAAACCAGAAAAAACTTTGAGTACTGAACCAGTCTGCATGACCAAAGAGAATCAGATGTGTCCAAGCTGGTACTGGAGTTGGTATAAAAGAGTTAAAATGGCAGTTCTCAAAGAATAATAGAAAATATTGGCTTATTGACTGAGAAAAGCACATTACTTGCATTTACCAGAATATAATTATTTGAAAGTTGCAGAAAATTATGCTTCAGTCCGGTTTCCCAGCGTAATGTGAAGAACCTCATTTTGTACAGATTGTTTTCTTAATGCATAAACCACTGATGTGTTTTAGTGAAATTGTTTTACAGTGATAACGTGTGAATCACTGCTTATGAAGGGATTGGCATGTCTTGAAAAAAACCCTGAAACCCAGACAAGACTCTTACCCGGTGGTATTACACACGTGATTCATCAGAGCCACATCTAGAACCTGGATGGCCAGTTCATCAGGTACGGTCAGTCCTTTGTGAAGATGCCGCTTTAACGAAAGTGCCAACTCGGTCTCTGGCTGATTGTTTAACACTAGCCGTATGGCATCTCCCATACTCAGGCGCAGTAACCCATATACACTTGCAAATTTCTTGGCAACTGTAAAACATTTTGATTTCCACACACAACTTTTAAGTAAGCAACACCACAGCCTAGCAGTCTGTTAAAGTATGTCCTTAGTCTTAGATGCTAACTGCTCAGCTCATTCTCTGGGTCATTTCCAATCCATAGTCTTTGTAGGTACCTAACCTTGCTTAGGCCCCAAAGGGCCCAAACCTCTGCATAAGTGCAGAGCGTGCCAGGTGCACTAACAGCGTTGAATTCAGCACAAACCTCAGCAGCAATAGTCAATATTATTACCAAATAGCATAGAAACTATTTTTCCACTGCTGCCCATTTTACAGAACAGTCTAGCAGTTAGATCATTTATCCAGGAAATGAGAAATATGGTTAAAATTTCCTTCTTAATATGCAGTAATTTGGACCTGTCTCTTCTTTTTTCTAACACGCTATTCTAATCTTTAAGCCATGGTGTAAGCTGAATTTTCTCCTCCTCCAGTGAAAGGTAGAGACCTGTGGACTGAAGGAGTCATGGAGGAAGAAGGAGAGGGGAGAAAGACAGAAATCTTGGGGGTTTTTAATCTGGAAGTTTGGAAACAGACTGGGGAATGTGGAGTTTTGGGTTCTAGTCCTTGATCCTATGAATACGTCTTCATTTTACATTCTGTCATATTGAGTGAAAGAAATAAACAATTAGAAAATAATCAGAAAAAACCCAAGTGGTATAAATAGTGTAAGTCCAGATTTTCTAAGTGGCCAGTCCGGGTGACTAACTTGTTAAGAAGCTGGGATAAAATTCAGATGGACAATGCATAAGTATCTGACTGTCAAATGAGACACTAGACAATGTAACTAAAAGATTCTGTGCCCAGCCAGAAAGGCAAGAAGACCAACAATGTGTGATGGGTTAGCCCTTGGCTGGGGGCCAAAACCACACACCCACTCACACAATTGCCTGCCCCCCATCCGAGGATAGGGGAGAGAGTTAAAGGGGTAAAGGGAAAAAAGGACTCATGGGTTGAGATAAGGACAATTCAATAACTAAACTATAATAATATTGAAAATAATACTATACACAAATATACAAATGAGTGATACACAGTGATACTGGCCCCCGACCCCCCCTACCTGATGACCAAAGGCTCAGCCTTTTCCTGGCTAATGATCCCGGAGAAGGGAGAGTCCCGAAACCACACTCACGATTCCCCCAGGCGGGGGGTGCACCGCTCCCGGAGGTACTCACAGAACGGAGATAACAGTCTGAGCGTCCCAGACCAAGAGCTGACCGGGGTGTGGAGGGGGGGGAAGGGGAGGAGAGCCTTGGGAGAGCGGCCACCTGGAGTGAGATGATCCGGAGCCAAGAGAGATCCGGAAACCAAAGGGACCCGGAACAAAAGGGACAATCTTCCGGAGGGTCCTCACCTATATACTGGGCATGACGTGTATGTTATGGAATAGATTATTGGCTATTCTAAATTTCAATCTGAACCTGAGATCAAATCCTAGGCTAGTATCTGAGGCTGTGTTCCCTCCCAGCCCCCCTCCCCTGTCTGCGGGGAGTAGGGAAGCTGAAGGACCTTGAAGTCCTGGTGACAACTGTAAACATCACTTTTTATCATCTTTCTTCTGAGCACAAATCCAAAACAGAGCCTCTTGCTAGCTATTATGAAGAAAGGTAACTCTGTCTCTGCTTAACCCAGGACACAATGTTAATGGTTTATGATTTTTTAATAGCATTAATGACAGATACCGCTTCAGTCATTAGAGAAGGTTTTGCTTTATAGATAATACTGGCTCTTACCTGTAGTCTTTCCAGATTTTGGAGGTCCCACGATTGCAATCTTAACTGGCACAGGTAGTTTAGGTTTTGGCTGACGAATATATTTGATGGGATTTTTCATAAACATTTCTGTATTTTCTTTGCTTGAAAAGAAGTAAATATATTGTCGATGGATTACAGGAAAGACTGTGTTTTCATGGCTTTGTTGTGGCTTGATTACATCTCCTTCACTTAGCTGTAGCATATACAAAATGGGAAGCAGTTGATTAGGTTTGACAAAGCCACCTCTCCCTCTGTCCTGCAGAAGTGGCTTTATAAGCAGGTAGAGGAGTACCAACTGTATGAAACAAACCATCAAAGCATTCTGAAATTCATGCATATGGACATAATATTTTGTCTGAGTCTGAGGAACTTCCATACGTATGCAATTCTTGTACAAAAAGATGAAGTGAACATTGAAGACAGGAGGAATATTCACTATTTCCAGTAGGTGGTACCGTAACACTTTCTGTCCGTCAAGAGAGCGTAGTCAGAGAGCTATAACATAATACTTTTTTTTTAATTTTCAAAGAATAAAGAGAATACTTTTATTCCTCAGAATTAAAACTATAAATCTGCCTGACAGTGGAAGATACACTGAGACTATTGTAGTCAGCAGAAATCATATACAAATGAAGAAAACAGAAAAGAATATAAATACATTATGATGAAGTGTAAAACTACAACAAGGCAAGCAAACAAAGCTTTTGGTAAAATACGTACACTGCTATTGAAATCTTTTCAAACACATCAGACAGCCCACTAGAAAGTCTGTAGTGTTGATAGATCATTGCGATGTAAGAAGAGCACTAATGACAGAAATGGTAATTGCAGAAATGCTAAATGAATTCCTTGCACCACTGTTCAGTATGGAAGAACTTAGTCATGTCCCTGTTGCAGCCCTTCTTGCAGGAACTGCCTTAAAGTGTCAACAAAAGATGTTTTAGAACAAACTGTTGACATCTGTAGAAGAACTTGCCCAGACCAGATGGCATTCACCTCACAGTTCTAAAGGGACTCAGAAATGAAATTGTTACTGACTAATGTGTAACCTATTGCTTAGTTTGGCCTTCCTTCCACAAAAAAACAAAGGTAAAGAAAGTGACCATTGTTTGAAAAGGCCTCCAGGATGGATCCTGGCAAACATAGTCCAGTAAATCTGACCCAGCACAGAGCAAATTGAAATATATTAAGGAAATGAGTTCAAGCTGGAACATAGGACGTTCCACTTGAATATGAGAAAAAACTTCTTTACAGTGAGGGTGACAGAGCACTGGAACAGGCTGCCCAGAGAGGTTGTGGAGTCTCCTTCTCTGGAGACATTCAAAGCCCGCCTGGATGCGTTCCTGTGTGATCTGATCTAGGTGTCCTGCTCCGGCAGGGGGATTGGACTAGAAGATCTTTTGAGGTCCCTTCCAATCTCTAGCATTCTGTGATTCTGTGAAAAACCTCGTAGTTACAGGCATACATATGAAATAATGGCGAAGAGCCAACTCAGCTTCTTATAGAGGGAAATCATACTTGACAAATCTATTAGTATTCTTTGAAGGAGTCGGGCAATATATGGATAAGTTCATCTGGTTGTTACAGGAAGAGATGGGACTGTTCTACTGTGTGGCATTACCTTGCCAGACCCTTGTCCAATTCTTAGTTTCCTATTCCTGCATCAAGTTATTTCAGGGTGTTTGCCCTCAATTTATAAGATGTTGGGCATCTGTTCTGCTGTATAGCTGCTCCTATTCCTCCATCAGCTCATAATTTTTATACTTTTCTTGTCTAATCAGTTGCATATCTACTTCTGTTCCCCCTCCCCGCCCCCCGATTTAATCTAAAAGTAATTGGAATATACTCTATCTGCCTTTCTACAAAAAAAGCCTCCGGTCCATAATCAATTTCATAATTTTTATTATGTCCTAAAATACCCTAAAAATGATCCTATTTCCCTTTCATTATTGTCAGCATGTACATTTCCACTGTCAGCACACCACTCCGATTTTAGCTAATAGCTTTTTATGACTTCTTTCTTCTAACTGAATTGTACTTTTTGGTTGGTAAAAAACCACTACAGCATAAATGAATGAATTGGAGAAATGGAATGACAAAAATGTAGTGAAATCTAATAAAACAAAGTGCAAGGTCTAGTGTGTAGGGACTAATAACAATTAAACATATATGCTGGAGTTCAGTAATTGGAAATGACGGAAGAGAAGAAATATCTACTTCTGTTAATATGTCCCTACATTATTAGATGCCAATTTGGTGTGGCCATGGAAAAGGCAATTCTCATCCTAAAACATTTTGAGTATTTTGATTATATAAAGCCATGATAAGAGCTGATCTGTATACAATTCTGATTGCCAACTTTAAAGAAAGATAAATGTGATCTGAAACAGGTGAAGACCCAACATGATGACTATACTAAAGGGAATAAAAGTTATGTGATTAATTAGCATAGTAAAATGAAGGCCAAAGTATGTTTTCTTCAGGAACTTGTTTTTTCCTGTATGTTGTTCCCTGGGTTTTTTAAATCAGTCCTCCTTTTTATTTCTCATTTACTCACAATCCATCTTCCTTTAATTTCTAGCATAAAAAACAAACATTTACCTGCTAACATTTCACTTGCTACCTATAAAACTGTATCAGCCCACTTTTGGGGATAGACATGAGTACTTTCTGACCTTGACTTTCCAGATCTCTAGTAAAATACTATGGAAGTAGATTTGTTGCTCTTCAAAATTTGTAAATTCTGACAACAAAGAATTAGTGCTGATGAATTACTTACCTTTAACATTTGTTGGTTTGCTTTTTTGCCACTGCTAGGGTTGGTGGCCACCTGTGTGACTTCTTACAAATTCAAACCCCAAATCCTTTCAGTTTTTTTTCACTGCTTCTGGTGTTAAGACCTTCTCTGTTGTCCTGTGTTTTGTGTATCATTAAGAATTTCTCTCTGATTCAGTGCCACCTTTAATTGTGTTGCCAATGCTAATGTAACAGATTTTACTAAATGCCTTTCAGCCTTAATTAGCTGCAACACTAAAAAGACTAATACCTCTTATTATCAACGCTTGCTGAATTTTTCGTATATTCAATGGTATAATTTTGATTCAGTAATGTAGTTTTCATTAAATATTTCTGGTATTAGTTGCTACTGTCTGATAATATTTTTTTATGTGAAATATATTTTTAAAAAGTATTACTTCTTGAAAATATTCTTCAGCTGTTTAAGAACATTACCTTGATTGGATCCCACTGACCGAAAGAACTTGGAAATTTATATGAAAAAACTAGCATCTTTTGTGCAAGTGGCAAACTTATTGGATAACATTTCTCAAAAATGCTTCCACGATTTTCCATTAGAGAATTCATCTTGCTATATACTTGGTAGCATACAATATGAGGCTTTCGTCCTCCATTTATCTCGATTTGTGGTATTAACAATTTTTCAAGTTCTTCCTGGTTAATGAAAACATAATGAAATATTAGAATAATAAACAAGATCAGATTTTTAATAATGACTGACAGAAATATTTTCTCTGAAGTACCAAGGATTTCTTGAGCATGTTCTCAGTCACCATAAATCAGCAAAATTTGATTTGAGATGAAAATTGGTCTTCCTGCCTATTGAAGTTTGAATTACCCAGCCTTTATTAAGTATCATACTATTAAAAACAACCAAGGACAATTTGACAGTTAACTTTGAGGAATCTACTATGATAAAGCTAGAGCTTGAGAAGCATTTTATTAAAAAAAAATAAATATCATTCTTCCCCTACTCCAAACAATTTAGGATGGCTTATTTCGTTGCTCTCTAAAAATATTGCTGCTCTCTGGTGACTTATTATTCCCCAGCTTATTCAACTAAAATGTAAAAACAATCAATTTTCTCCAGAGTTTTTCCTAGCAGCCTAATACTTTTACAAGTGCTGATGTGTTTTAATGTCATAATTTATTTTTCCATAAAAGACTAAGATTCCACAATGTCAAAGCAGACCAACAATTAAGAATCTGAGAACAGTAAGGGGGGTCTTGAATAAGAATCAGAAATATTTTAAGTTATTTAAAGGTATTTATAAAGGCATATATGTTATTGGAATTAAAAAAATAATGGGAAAAATATTGAATAAGCTGTAACTAGGGGATATTAGTAGCATCTAGTCCCAATATGTAATTCTATTATATGATACTTCTGTGTAATTCCTCAATTTACATGTAATATCTATATAGATCCACAGTCTGGGTTCCTTCCACTTACTATCAGAAGCAGAACTAAATATAATAACAAATTCTAAAACAATAGGCACCTCTCTTGTTACTGAGATTTATGTACTTGAGAGAAAGAAAAAGTTGCTGACTCTCTTAATTGCCTGTTCCTTTTCTGATAAATTTTTTTATCAGTTTACTAAGGCAACAAATTGTGTGCTCTCAAGTGACAGAGAGGAAAATGCTCCAAGAACTACAGTGTTCCACTAGCTTTAACTTGAAACATGATGTAAAGAGCTAACGCTGTTACCAGGATTTCTTGTTTCTTGTTTCCCATAGGTGTTATCCTAAATTCTTTCTAATTCTATTTTGCAAATTCAGTTTATACTCAGAAAAGTTAAATTAGCCACGAGCGTCATTCAGAAACCTTAAAATTATTTTTGTGATTATCATTGGGATACATGATTGAATAGTTCAACAAAATGATGGCATTTTATGATCACTTTTGAAAGTTGAGTCTACTTTCAAATCGCCTTCTTCCAAAATTAATTGAAAGGTGAATCTCTGAGCACAAAACATTAATCTTTTCCACACAGCTTACACTTTCTTGTTAGGAATGTTAGGAGTTTATTTTTGGTTCATCTGTCATTCAATCCATTAACTATTAAAATAAAGTGAACCTTGATTCATTCTCTCTTATGGTGTTGGTAAAGGTTGGATTAATTTTGCAGATCTTACATCTATGTCTTGGCTATCTACTTCTGTAAACTTTCTGTCTGGTCAGTGGATAGAGTTTCTTCTAAATCACGATTAATTTCCTCCTGAAGCAAGATGCTTCGTATATAGTAAACAAATGGCACCAGTCTATTTACTGCCTTAGATGTGGACATTAACGTTGCAGTCAGATGAGGTTACCTCACCATAGGTAATTGCACTGATTTCAAGAAAATTATGTTGCTAAGAACTTGCTAAAAAAAATTAGAGTTTTCTAATCAGAGTTTTGCCTTAAAAATTATTTTGAAACGCTGTTCATATATTTGTGACTCTCTGGTTTGTTCGCCTGCTTCAACTGACCTATCAAAAAGGAAATAAGGACCCCAAGACTGTGTTGGTCTACCCAAAAGTTTCCTTTGTTTTTTTCCCCACAATATTAGTCTTATTTTAAAGTATATACCTTCTCACTACAGCCTTCATCTTGCTCACATATTTAGATCATGAGTACAGCAGCATGATTGTTTAAGCACTGTGACTTTTAAATTTGACAGAACTGAAAAGTCTTCTTGCATCATGGGATTTAACAAAATAATCAGTAGAATAGGTACCTGTACACTTTGTAAACTGTCTATTTCTGAATCAAACTTTTCTGTAATTTCATTTTGTATGCGATCAACAGCATCAGTCTCCTGTTCTTCGTCAGCCTCTTCTTCTTCTTCTTCTTCTTCTTCTTCTTCTAAAAACTCTTCTTCAAGTATAGCTTCAACATCTTCATTTTCATTCTCATCTTCCTCTGCAGTGGCTTCATCGTGCTCCTTATCTGCTAAAGCCTATAAAGGTAAAATATTTTGTTGTTTCATGTCCGAGATACAGATGTTTTGAAGGTAGAGATGGTGTTCTTTTTTAATTAGAAAAATCATTAATTCAACAAAGCCTCATTTTGGGGTATCCTTTATTTTAAGCAAAAAATCTAGTAAATCCTAGAATCCTATTTCAGAAGAAAATACAGAGGTATTGCACAGTGTATACAGTGAAGCATTGTGCTAGTTCCAAGAGTGCTTAAAAAACTGGAGTGCTACACTGCAGTTTTCATAAGAGGAGTATTTTTTTCATACATGGTATTTTAGTTTGGCAGGACTTTGTTATAAACAAGCTTGTTAGCTGAAAGTGTAGTTGACAATTTCATAAGCAATTAAGTAGTACATTAATGCATTTATAAATGTCCTTTGTAATTGAGTTTAGGCAGAAATCGTGGTACCATCCTGTTCTGGGTTAACCATGGATTTGACAGGGTACTTAAAACAGCTGCCTAATTGCAATTAATGGGGCTACTCTTATGCTTACAAATCAGATACATTAAACGCATTCATAAGTATTTTGCTGAATTGGAGCACATATTGAGAATTCTTTTAAAATTGTTTTTAGTGTTCATAAGTCAATAGTTTCTAGAACAATTTAAACATAATTTCAAATTATTTTTGGAAGTAGAAGTTTCTGACAGTCTGTCACATTTTTACTATTCTACAGTGCCCTGAAAACTCTGTGACCAGAATCTCTAGAAATTTCTAAGGTTTGAATGCAAACACTTGTATTTAAAATCTTTCTTATTAGCTTGTTTTCTTACCTCCTGTTTCTTTTGTTTTTGTTCTGCTAAAAGTTCTTCCCTTCTTCTAGCAATCCTCTCATCCTGTTAGTGAAAAAAGATGTAAGAAGACAATGGTATTTGCTAATAAAAGCTCTCCTCTGATAATTGGTAATGTGACCTAGAATTAATGTTGTTCTTTCCACCTTAAAACTCTGTTTCCATTTGCTTCTAATGTTAAAAAATACTATTTTGCAGACGAGATATGCCTCTGCTAGGTGAATAGCTAAGTAAATTTTAGTAAAACTAATTTGGCAACTTCTGAGATTGAGATGAGGGCAGGAAAAAGACTGTGATTCTGATCACACTGAGAATATTATAATATTTTCATTGGCAAACTACAGTTTCTAAATTTATAGATGGTTTCTGCCATTTGGCAAAGAGGTGACTAAGTGTAGTATTAAATGTGTGCTGTTCCCTACAACTTTTTAGAACTGCCCAATTTTGACGAAGTTATAGGCCTTTGAAATACAGCCCCCCATACATACTCAGTAGATACATATCAAATACCTGATGACTAATTCCTAACTCAGAAGTAATATGCAGAAGCATTATACTTCAGGCCAATAGGGTCGATGGGGATTCAACCTGTAATTGCTGTTCTTGCACACTGTGATGCCGTCACCTGAGCTGAGATCAGAGAAACTGAGTATGTCAACACACAGGCAATAGTGCAATTTTAGAAATCCATTTTAGAAATCCGTGTTAACTCAAGCGAAGTGTCCTGGATACCAGAGCATTCTAAGCAGAGCAGCAAGAAACTCTGCACAGGCTAATTTTCTCTACTGTTGTGGCTAAACTCCAGTGTTCCTGAACAACACTGTGCTGCAGGTGTACTCGTTGCTTTCATTGTCCTGTTGCCAGCTTCTTTCAGCGGAGAAAGAAACTCTAGGGTAGCATTCAGCTGGTCTGTCTGCTTTTCCCACTCTCTGTATGTCCTCCAGCTTTACTAACAAAAGAAGGGTTACAGTATACTCAGCAATACTGCATTCTCACAGCACTATCCGACTTGCTCACCAACTGGATGCTATAGAAAAATACTCGATGTGTAACTAAAAACTCTATTCCAGTACACATGAGCAAAAATATCAAATTACTGTTACTCAGGAAATCCTGATTCTTATCTTTCCTTACTTCCAAATGCCTTTATCAATTTGTATCACTGTCTTGTGTATGTGTTTTAAATAGGAACCTGTTATTTTCCTTTGTCAACAGGAGCCATATTGCTACCTACATTGTTCATTAGAAGTTTGGATCCTAGGATCTATAGCACAGGTATTTGCCACTTGAATGGTCAGAGTAACTGTTTACAGGGTGAGCTTAGTACAGCAATGTAGGCTGGTCACTAGAATGCACCTTTTCCAGAAAGATTTCCAATTTGCATCAGGAAAGACTAAATAAAAAAAATATTTTAAGATTCCTAGGTTATATGCATTCTCAGAGCCAACCTCTGGCACAGGCAGTTCCAGAAACTTACTGGTATTGTATGAGCCTTGTCCCAAATTCCGTTGTACTAACTTCCTGAGTCAGCCGCTCTGTAGTAACTTATGTTCAGACCTTTTCTGACAGTACATAGGAAGTACTTTATCTCACTTTTGTAGAAAATTAGGAACCTTGAATATATTGCATGTGCTAATTGTAAATGTCTGCATAGAGGTTTCAGGTTATTTCAAGTAACTTGTAACCTGTTTAGTAGTAGGCAGAGCTCTGTTCAAATGGGAGACTGTGCAGCTGCAAGAGTGCTGAGAATGTGGCTTAGTGCTATTACATTTCTGTGCAAAGTGTCATAGTTGGAAAGGTTTTAGAATCTGTGTTCAGACCTGTGGTGCTGAAACTACAAACAAGGAGACAGGACTGTGACTTACCCGTATTTTTGCTTTCAGGTCTTTCAGCTTCTTTTTATTTTCCATTTTCTTATACTGTCTGTCTTTCCATTTTTTCAGACGTGGAGGAAAAAGACGGCCAAGAACGTCACTTTCTTCTACTTTAATATAAACTGCAACATCAGGACAGAGTCCTCGTTCTGACAAATACTGAGCTTCATCTAAAGTACGAGGGAAACCATCCAGTATAAATCCCGTGGACCTAATTGGAAAATAAGATCTTTATCATTACACAATGTAGTTTAAAGTGCAACACAGTGAAAATGCAATTAATTTGAAAAAAATTATTTCAACTCCCTTGTTAAATTTATATGTTAAGAGTAAACTTAATAAATAGTTCCAGGTATTATGTTTTGACAATGTAAAACGGATATGTCACTATGGATTTTAATTGCTGTACTAACAAATGTATTTCTTCTGAGGTTTTACTGTACAGAGATTAATTATTTAAAAAGAACTTTAAAAAGCCAAAATAAATCATGTCCTCAGTACTGCTTGTGTGGCTTCCTAGTCACTGCTCTCAAAAAAACAGAAGGTCCCCTAAACATTATTTTGGTAACATCTGTCACAGAGGGCTTGTCAGCTGAAAACTTACTTTTCAGAAATGCCTGACAATTTCTGCTCTAGTATAGGATGAGAATTTTGCTATTCAGCATAACCTACCTCTCCCTTCGTTCAGATATTAAAAACAGGTCAGATATGTCTGGAAAGCTCTGTGGCTTGTTGGAGCTCTTACAATCTCAAATTAGATGAGTAGTTCTGTAAAGCTGGATGTTGTGTTAATAAGAAGTTAATATTTCTCTTCGTTACCTTACACCTTAATAGGATACATTGTAAAACTGCAGAAAACCAAGGAAGCTACAAGGAGTGAGAGTGGATAGAATAACAAGTGGATGCTGTGGGAAAAAGTTGAGGGAACGATATAAATCATGATATATATCATGATGAAGGTTTTCTTCTGCTATACAGTCCCTGATGAAACTGAATTTATATCATATAATATCACTACACTATGTGTAATTTTTTTTCTTGGTGCATTCTTTTTTTCTTGAAACTGATCTCCCTATTTTTATACCATTAAGAAAATGTTGTCCCCTATCTCTGGGCTGACAGGGCAGAAGTTTGAGAATCTTAATTCTTTTTAAGGCACTTCTCATACTGCTAGGAATTGCAACCTAATAGTCAATCTGCCAGCAGCAGATCTGGATGGAAATGGATGGAAGAGATGGGACATGGAAAAAGGGACTTCCCTGCTGAAATTACATCCTAAAAAGCCAGTCTGCTTTCTAGGAGTTGATGATCTTATTTATGCAACAATAATTCACATTTATCACAGTGTTATGGATGTACTTTCTGATATGAAAGGAAGTCTGTTGTGGATACATCACTGGAGTGGATTGTGATGAATGCACGAGGTAACCTGATTCTGTGTTATTTTAGAGACCATTGATACTTTGCTTTCCACACAATATTTACAATACCAATAGTTACATCTGGATTACAGCTCTCCATGTTTATTAATTACATGAAAACGTAAAAGGTTTATTTACATATCTATCCTGTAAGCCCATTAAAAGTACTCTGCTATTCAGGAGATCTATTTAAATTCAAGTGCGCTCAGTACTTTTGTCCAGTCCTGTGTAGAGCACATGAGGCATTATGTTACTGTCAAAATATAAATAAAAATTGAGCAACAAAACCAAGACTGAGATGTAGGTCATGATTCATACGAAGTACAAGAGCACTGAAATAATCTCTGTGATAATTATTTGTAATTGTGGACACAATGGATTATATTCTTCCTAAGATAATTTAAAGAAAGAGAGAATCTAATTACAGTTACCGGAATGGCTCTTTCCTCCACCAGTCAGGAACAATGTTATCAAGGACTTCTGGAGGCAGTGCCTCATTATCCATTAGATTTGCTTTGATTGCTTCTTCCTCATCAGTTAACTCCACTTCCTTTATATAAAGAAAATCCACAAAAAATGAAACAAAACGAAACCAAAAACAACAGAAAGAAACAAAGATCTACCTGACACATTTATTGTTTTTTGGCTAAGTAAGGTACTGTTTTCATTTTATTTAAACCAGCAGAAACAAACATTTGCCACATTTCACTGTACTACATTATACATTTTAGGATATTTTCCACATGCTTGAGGTTGGGTGATTCCCTGAGTTGGGGCAATTGCTGCTGTGAGTTTTAATGAAACCTAGACCCAAGTACAATTGTTAAGTATTTATTTATATATATGCTCAATTCAGAGGAATAGCAACTGAAATGATTGCAGTTTTTCCTAATTGCCTACAAGAAGTTTTCCACTTAGTTATACATGTTCTCATGCTGGAAGACTATCCGCACTACATCAGAATGTTTTTTCACTTTCTAAAAGCAACTTTTATCTTTTGATGCAATCCAAAGAAAGATGTCAAAGAAAGATATGTAAGGTTACTGGGTATAGACACATGACCAGATATCAGACAGATAGCATTGTTCTACAGAGCAGTAGTAGTATTAATAACTAGTCAAATGCAGAGCATTCAAATATCAAATCTAGCTGCTACAGTCTTGTGAAAAACTGTTTTTTCAGAACATGTAACAAGGTGAGATTCATAGGGCTGAGGAAGCACTTTTCATTGAATGGCTTCCTGACACAAACTGTGGTAAAAAAGAATGAAAATATGGTATAGATTGGTGATTCTGGATTAATTTATGTCAGTCATGATATCAAAATACAAGTTTTTACAAGTATACTGGATACAAGACAACATTAGAAGTCAAATGTATCACTGTTCCTAACCTGCTGTGTTATTTTTTCATGGAAATATTCACAGAAGAAAATATTATTTTCTAATGAGTTGATATATTTTTCCTGAAAACAGAATGGCAGAGTTCATGAGATAAATGTATCTGGTATCCTTTAAAGAGTTTAATACTTTTGCTGCCCTACCTTATAAAGGTCTCATTTGTAAAAAGGCATCTGTATTTGTTTAAGACTAGATATACACTACCAAAAGAGTGTATTTTTTAAATGTCAGTGGACATCAAACATACACCTAAGTTGCATCCAAAGTCACTTGGAGAGAAGACTTTATATTTAGCTAGGTATACTGTCCCTCTCAGCAAATAAATTTGTCTCCTGAAATTCTTTTGTGAATTCATTCCAAAGTTCTGTTGTCCTTTTCTCATGTAGTAGTGATATTAAACCAAATTGCTCAATAATTTTCTAGCATAACCTGTCAGAAAATAAAGGAATAACCCTTTTTAACAAAAACGATCCAGTGGTTCAGGAACCCTCAAAATGATGGCAGGGAGCTGCTTGTTGCAAGGACATGTCTGAATAAGAATTCCTATGCCTGACACCTGTTTTGATAATGTAGGCAAAAGAACTTTAGAATATGCTGGAAGCCACAGGTCTAATGTAGTGTGTGAGTAATATTTTATCTAGTGCCTGACACAGCATGTATATTAAAAGATATTAGTATGGCATAATGGATACCTAAGAAGGCAGAGTGGTAGCCAGATCTGTAACACTGAGGCATCTGGAAAGAAATGTGTGAAGTGGGAGAAAACAGTAAAACCCATATAAAAATGTATCACTGACGTCACCACTGCAGATGAGCTGTTGAATCAGCATTTGTATCTGATAAAAGTAAAGAAACTTGAGATGTATATTTCAGGTACAGGAAAGAGAACATCCTGCATAGTGGTAGCTCGAAGGACAAGGCTGCTCCTGAGACCTGTCAATGCTGTGAAGGCTTTGGTTGACACCTACTAAAACAAGCAGGATGATATCTTTTTGATAAGCTTCCCAGACTGCATAGTACATTTTGCTTGCCTTTAGTATTTTTGCTTTGAATATTATAGCTGACCTTTACCTTGAGCTTTGGTAGATAACATTTCCAGTGTCTTGTGCCAAAGTGAAAGAGAACGATACAAATTAAATTAAATGAAATTATTTTGGACAAGTAGTGGGTCAGTGAAAAACAGGAGAGTTGGATGGTGTGGTGGTAGTCATACTCAGAGAAATGCTTAGGGAGTCCACAACCTTGGGAATCACCCTCTGGACTGAGCTGAAATAGCATGAGCTGTGCTTTGGTCATGCTATCAGATAAAGTGCTTTACAATAAGTGCAAGAAAAATAAAAGCTAATGTAGAATAAGATAGTTTATCAGCAGATAAAAAGATGATGAGGAAAAAGTACTAACGGAAGTGCCTTAGTGTAAGACATGTATTGATGCCAAAAAAATAAGGCTGAGTGAGAGCCAGCCATAACCATCAGTGCCAGGAACACTTGCCATGTTTTTGGCGATGACCAAGCTGTAAACTGACTGGCTAAAAGAACTTCCTCTTAGATTTAACTGATGAATACCTGAATTTTTGTTCTGACATCCATGATTTTGGTCTGTACTCCATCTGTATTAAAGCATTTGCTTCCAATATTACCTGCTGTTGTATTATTTCATCAGGAACACTACCTTCCAGTTATCAGGGACCTACCCTGCTTTTCAAGACAATAGAGAGTGGCCTTGAATTTACCTTTGGCAGCTTCCTCAGCACCTGTTAATGCACCCTATTGGCTTGTATATGTCCAGATTACATTAAAAAATCCCAAATTTGATCCTATTCTGCAGTGAGTAGTACCACACTTTACCCATGCTTTCCTAGGCACAGAGACCTAGAAGGCCACAGACTAGACTGGAAGGACCATAGTAAAGAAGGCATGGAGCATCTCAGCCTTTTCAGTATCTTTCATCAAGAGTTCACCTGCCCCACTCACTGGAAGACTCTTATTTTCTAGGTCTTCCTTTTGCTACTGTTCCTGCAGGAATTCTTCTTGCTACCCTTCAGATCCCACACTAGTTTCCCCTTCCACTGAGTGCTCATCTTCCTAATACTGTGCCGGGATGCTGTTTTTGTACGCCTGCTCTGTAGCCTGCCTCCCCTGCTGCATATTTCTTTAGATCCTGTAGTAGGAAGCCTTTGAAGGTCTTTGATGACTAGTAACTTGAAGGAACATCGCATGTATCAGGAGCACAAAAACCATGGCTCTTATTTCTTCTGAAGCTTTGAAAGCTGGATAAACCCTTATTTGTATTGTCTACGAGGCAGATTTTCCATTTCTTTGTATTATGCATTTTTTGAAAGATTTATATGCTATGCACCTATGTTGAGACTTCTCCACACAATAAAGGCTTTAATCATATCCATTGGTGTCTAAAGAAGAATATATTTGCGTTGAAACCTTATATTTTTTTCCCAAGATATCACCGTCTAATAAAAGAAATCACTTTCTCCTGGTAAACATTTATGTAAATGTTTATTGGTCAGGGAGATTATACCCTGTAAGTGATAGGTTTTAGAATGTGTATTTATAGCAATTTTGAACCAGTATTCAATCTGATTAAGAAAAAGACCTAATTTTCTGAAAACAAAATTCATTAATTATTTTAACAGTATAATGAGTATCCAGCTATTTGAAACAGATTTTTTAACTACGAGGCATATTTTATGCTACCTGAGTTTTTTCTGTTTGAAATTCTGCTGCCAACAGGCAAAGGCAGATTTAATTAGATTAGATTACAAAACCTACCGTATTAAAAAAATACTATCTTAGTCTGTTATGAACACTGAAATATTTCTAATTTTTTGACAAGGGATGATCAGACTGAAATGCTGGTAGAGACATTCTATTCTTTTGCCCCAGGAGAGTGCAGAGAGCACTGCTGGTAAACTCCTGTGCAATTGGAGCACACACACCAGACTGAACATGCATATTATAAATACTTGAAGGAATCCATACCTTCTCATTATTATTCTGACCTTCATTTCTTTTCTTGCCTGTCTTCCTTTGCCCCATTTAGTATCTATCTCTACTGTTTAGAAAAAGAAGCTGACACACAATTCTTGAAGGTGTTTTGAAGAATGTTTGTGGCATTCATAAGAAAACATTGTTAAGAGTATTATCTCCAAATTTCATGAAGTAAATAATTTAACATAAGTTATTTTTATCAACCTAGAATTTTATAGGAAATTCCTATTCTGGTCTGAAAACGGTTATTTTGTGTATGGACATAAAAAAGACCAGATTATTACCTCTTTGCTTTTTTCATTCTCAGTTTCAGTCATGGTCTGAGAGAAGTCTTCAAGTTCCTGTGATGGAATTGGCATTTTAGTGTCATCTTCTTCATGTTCTTCATCAAAATGGGGTCCAACTTTCTCTTTAGTTTTGGGTAAGATCAATCCCTGTAGATATTCTTCAAACTGAATATGGAAAATGCCTAATTTGTCTGCTATCTGTCGTGCACATGTAGTTTTACCTGCTCCATGAGCCCCAAGTAAGCATACCCGCAAAGGAGGAGCCTGTAGGAAGAAAAATTGGAATATTTTGTAACAATTTGGAGTCTACAGTGCACCCCCTACTGTTTCTCACTTCCAAAACAGAATTATAAAAATTGCAGCAAAACCAGTCACATAATTTTGCATTTTAATTTTTCCAGGCCTTCTACTGCTGTTGCAAACAGACTAATGCTCTCTGGAAATACTGAACAAATACACTATGGCAGCTGGTGCCAGTAGGTAAAAATGAAACTTCATTAGACAATTCTGGTAAAGCTTCCCTTCTTTTACCCTTCTTCCACTTACAAAAAAAAAAAAGACTTAAAGATTGTAAAAAAATCCCAGTGTGTGAGATTTGTTAATCACATTTTACGATTATTGCAAGCCTTTATAATCTTCCTCTGTTTTCTGCTTTATTTGCATCATTAATTTAATGTGTTAAGTGTACACTAAAAAGTCAGGGGGGAAGCAATGTGTTTTAGTTGGTTCAAGGACTTGTCTGATATTTATTGTAACCTAGAAAAAATCAGCAATAATAAACAACTATAAATCAGAATGGAAAATAGTGATTTTAACCTGTGAAGTATTTTAAACAATTTTGAAGATTCTCACTTGTATTGGTTCATTGTGAGCCACATACTCCTCAGGGTTCTTCAAAAATTTATCTCTGTTCTCAGAAGTTGAAAAGTAATATATCTTTTCTCGATACTTAGCTGCATGTTCAGAGAGTCCTGGGTAAAGGACAAAGTTCTCTTTCAGACTGACTGGACAAAAGTGTTTTGTGTCTCCCATATGCCTTTTCTTTTCTTTAATAGTTTCTTCATCCTGAAAATATTATGAAAATTTTCAAAAACTATTTGAATTCAGTAGTTCACTTAGATAAAGTAGATCAAGTAGATCAGATTGAGTCAATACATCAACTGAGCATTGAATGAGAATGGTGTTCTCAAGATAGTTTGTAAGCTGAATATAAGTCTATAAAAATTCACACAGATTCAGGGTCAGAAAATAAACTGTCCAACCTAGTGAGAGAATGATTGAGAAAAGAATGATCATTTTGAATTTGAAATGTTAATACCATAATTAGGTGTTGAAGAACAAAGTTAGGCTAGAAGATGAAATCTTTTCCTGATGTGTTCTTGAAACTAATTTTCTGTTTTTTCTAAATGTGCATGAGTAGACCTCTTCAGAAAAGACAATGAGGGCTGGTATTGTGAAGTCAGATTACTTATCCAATAAAATTAATTTCTACAAAATCCATTCAATACTGCTCCAGTACAGTATATGGATGTCCTGTACTGTTAAATTTGGGTATGAGAATCTTCCAATATAGGATGAAAATAAAAGAAAGGCAAAGCTAGACCTTTAATTTCATTAAAGTGGGTGTTTAAATCTATCAATAGCTGAGATGAAAGACAGGACTGCATATTAGGACTCTGCATTTTCTGACGTTTACATGATGGCTCATAGAGTCATTATTAGTTGACAAAAAAAAAGTTCACATTTGTTTCTTTAATACTCTTTGCCATCCAGTAAAACTAGATACATTCATTCTCTCTATTAGCATGGGGTATTTATGCTTCTTGCTGGAGTAAAACTATTATCAGCCAGAACATAGGAATACAATCAAAGTGTTCCTGAAGCATATGCTGATACTTATTCTGTAAAAAGGCTGAAACTGGATCATATAAAATCAGGTACAAAATCTGACTTCTCAGGGGTTATGTTCAAACTGAAAATAAATGACTTAAAATAAAAGCATAAATAGACAAAGCCAGCATGCTTACTTCTTCATTTTCTTCTTCTTCAACTTCTTTTTCTTCATCTTCCCCTTCAGCAGCCAGATCTTCTGCTTCCTCATCTAAGTCTTCATCAGATAATTCCCAACCATGATATTTAAAAGGTTCTGAAAAAGTTAATTTTTTTTTCTGTTTCAATATTTTTCAATTGGCTGTGCCAGAGTATATTCTCTGTCCATAAAAGCAGATATGTGAAAGCAGATGATGCCAACTGTATATTTCATTTCTTCTCATAGAACAAAATGTTCTCCACAGATGTAGGAATTAATATATTGCTTCCTCCAAAAAAGGGAAATTCTACTGGCTGCTTTTTGGTTGAAGTAAATTGGTATTTTCAATGGGAACTTGTAGTACAAAAGTATTATACAAACACAGGCAGATAGTGCTATTACTGTTTGCAACAGTTTTTTTCCTATTGTCAAATTGTATTTGTTTATAAAGCTAGCACAATAGATGTTTTGGTTAATAAAACACTTGCATTGTTGTAATGATAGGAAAAATGTAATATTAATATTATTTATCCAGTACTCAAAATTGTTAGAGATTTGAGCACACAAGTGAAGAAAGGGAATTTGCCAAAAAATACCAATACTGTGAAAATCCAGGTTTGAAACACAATCTGTGCAGGTGGGTAGATTAGATTATTACATACCTTGGAAGTCTTATTGACTTCAATGAATATTGTACATTAGTTAACTTTTGTTATCTCTCCATTTCTCAAACCAGTATCCTGACATGAACAGATAAGGCAAGTAACTAGGGAAATGCACTGTCAGAATGTCTAGGGAGCTATTATGTACATATTTGTAAAGCCATATACATATTCTTAACATATATATATTCCCCACTCTTCCTGTGTCTTACAGGCTGCTAGTGTTCTTTTCAGCTCACCCACAGAAGACAGCGTGTTCTGTTCCCACTTCATGTGAGTAATACAGAACTGAGTATAACCTGTCCCCCAATATATTCATCACAGAAGGTCTCCAAAATCCTTCTTGGTACGTTAAGTGTAAATCACATAAACAGTATTACTTACTTTCCATAACCAGCACAGTTTGATTAAGCAGACTTTCTGGAGTTTGCTCAGCAATCTCCAAAACAACAACCTGAACTAGAGATGACTGCTTGATTTCTGACTCCACTGTTTGCCAGTCATTCATGAAAAGGTCAATCTTCCTTTTAATTGTTTCCATTTCTGGTACATCTGGAAAATCATCCTCTGCAAACTCAGGTAGTATGATTTCTGAAAATGAAATAGTACATAGAAGGCAATGCTCCTGTAAAAAGTTTTGCACTTAAAAGATATCATTATGCTTTAGGATTTTTTTTTTCCTCAAATATGGTGGCATATTTTTTTAATGCTGCTTCCTTTCCCACTCTGTAATTATGAATTATTATATTACTAGTTTAAAAGACACTTTGAAAATGCCAAATTCATTATGTTGATGTAGTATATACTGATGCTTCTCCTGGAAAATAAACAAGGTCAAACTACTTAACTAAATTTGCATATGGTTTTTTAAATCAGCACACAAATAAATATAATTACTCTTTCTGCAAAGAAATACAAAGAATATACATTAATTTAAAAATTGTGATTTAATGACAAACAGTTTTTGACAGGCTATCCATAAGATATGGATACATGCCAGTAATAAAGAGTAGGACACCTAGCATACACTGCAAAGAAGCAACTTCATGTTGTGACCTGGTTCAGGTTCAGTTACTGAAGCTGTTGGGGAGTGTTCAGGTTGCATGTTAAGTATCTGTTCTTTTTCAGGTGGAGTATGTTCTCTTTACATAAATAGAAATACAATGCATACTACTAGTTGTTTTTCCTCTTCTGCATAAGATCTCAAGGTACAGGTGTTAATGAATTAAACCTTCATTTACTCAAACAAATGCCTACAGATATATAAAGATCCACATGGCAACATTGCAGAGAAAATAGAAGATTTAGGGGAGAAAGGAAAAAGAAGGGACTAAACACAGAAGTCCACTTCAGTGTAAATATCAAGGATATGAGGGATGATATTGAAGACTGAAATCCTGAATTGATAAAGGCAAAGCAGTGAGCTAAAATACTAAACCATGCAATACAGGAGTTCTTAAACAAATTACAATTGATGCCTTTAACTATACTAACAAATGAGGCAAGACAGGTACATCAAGATTATGATACACCTTTTTAAAAGTGATCTGCAATGGGAATGTCTTGATTCCTGGATACCTAATGCAGCAATACAGATGTACACATGTGTGCAGTAATTCTAAGAAGTACCAACAATGAGATGCAAAAGTGTAACCCATTTCTCTGGAGGCTAAAAGTCATCCATAGTTATACAAGGAAAAGGAGTGTGAATGTAAATGCCACCTTCTAGTCAACACACTCTAGGACAAAGAGTATATAAATTATAATAATGAGAATATTAATATGAATAAATAAATAAATTAACATAAAATATATATATAATGGCTTCCCTCTGTGGATACTTGGACTGAGAAACTCTCACAAAAACATTGGCTTTAATGAAGTCATGTCTGCATACAATAACTTATTTAATGAGTAAGGGAAAAAAAAGACTTTAATCTCTTAAGATACATTGTGCAGAAATCCCTAGTGTCAATTGTTTAAGATTAGAGAATTCCAAGCCTATCTCCTAACACTGTCTCATGAAAAGTAAACAAAAGTTAGAGATTGGAAGAATGTGTTAATATAACTAAAAAATTCACAGGTACTACTTACTCATGGTAAACATGACAAAACCACACCAAATGTGTTGTCATACTTGGTGAGCAGAATAGCAAAGGGATATCCTTTTTGATTGACTGACATCCATTTTGCTGAAAAAGCCAGAGGGAATTAAAAACTTGACACTGACAGCAGATATTGAATTAAAAACTTGATATTGACACATTAGCAGAAAAGGAGAAAGACACTGATTGGTTCCTAGGGCTGCAGTTAGTATCCATTTAGATATTGCTATGCCCTGAAAGTCCTGAGACAAAGTTCTGTCTCAGCTAGAAGAAGATACAGAGGTGCCTAGATGACAGCATCACCACCTTGTCCGTACTAAATCATGAACAGTCTCTGGTAGCAGCAATGTGGTGTTGCTGCTATTCCCATTCCCTGTACTCAGATAACTTCTAAGCCTGGTTCTCTTCTTTTTCTTATCATTTTTACTTTGTGTTCTGTTTAATGAGTCTGATATCAGTGCCTTCGGCTAACAGACAGAAAAGCAGTTCAGAGCAATGACTTAAATGGTTTGATACTGCTATAAGTTTGCTGGGACTTACAGTGTGTGCTGTGTTTGTCTCTTGCCAGAAATGAAGCCGCAAGAAAGAGACTGAACAGCAGATGGAGTGATTTTCTACTTTGTTATAATTTTCCCCTGCTCTTTTTGTTTCTGTCTTAAGTTTGAAAGAACAGGAACAGATTTTGACTCAGGCAACAACAGGTTTAGTCTATCCCAATGACCTTTTACTGATTTTTACAAAAAAAGGATCATTACTACTATTTTTCCTTATATACCTTCCTACACATAAAAAGGAGAGGTATTATTGAAAGTGAAAGCCTTCCGTAATGCCTTGTATGTTAAAAGCTTTGACCATTTTCCTAAAAATAGAAAACCCAAAACCATTAAAAAACCAGTGTTTTATGGTTACTCCCTGGCATTAAGCAGGCCAATTAAAGCTGGCCTCTTCTCTAAAGTAACAAGTGATAGGACAAGAGGAAATGGCCTCAAGTTGCGCCAGGGGAGGTTTAGGCTAGATATTAGAAAAAATTTCTTCACTGAAAGAGTGATCAGGCATTGGAACAGGCTGCCCAGGGAAGGGGTGGAGGGGTTCAAGAAACGTGTAGATGTGGTGCTTAGGGACATGGTTTAGTGAGTTAGGTGGTGTTGGGCTGACGGTTGGACTTAATGATCCTTGAGGTCTTTTCCAACCTTAATGATTCTATGATTCTATGAATGCTCACTATGTGAAATCGCAGTACTGTAACATTCATTTTGAATTTGCTCCAACCTGAAAAAGTCAAACAATTTTTCTGGCTCATGATGAGTTGGATTGCCCTGTTACAAATTTCTTCTTTAAGAAAACTTGCATTTCCTCCCAGAACTGAATCTCTCTCAATTTTCTCTTGAGGATTGTTGAAGAAATCCACAAGTGCCACATTTACCTTTCCAAAATAGAGCCAGATCAAAAAAAGGCTATTACTAAGTACAATGTAGCTGGATTTCAGTGAATAGGTACCAGTAAGACTCATCAAGAAACAGGACTAAACATAATGGTCAGAGTAGACATGCTGCCTAACTTTTGTCTGACATGCTACCAACACAAGCATCGCTTGGAAGTGCCAATAGCAGCTGGTATACGTGAGCACCTGCAGGACAAGGAACACATCTAACAAATTTTTCTGTCTTGGATGGCTAAGCTACCTATGAAGCTACCTATATATCTTGTAGAAGAAAGCAAGCCAGTGCCCTTCCACCAGTGAGTTAATTGCCAAAGAGCAAGAGTTAGGGACTCCCATTCTTTTATCATCAGCCAAATTTGAAAAGGTGCAGTGTTTCAAATTCATGCCCCCTTTTGACATTCCTTCATGGCTCACTGAGGCTGGCCCCTTGCTGGGTTGCTTCTTGTTGTGCTAATTTCTACAGCCCTTAATTCCATATATGAAGCCAAGCACTTAAAAGTTAGTACGTCAGTTTTGGGCACTGCAGTCTCTACAGCTCTTTATGGATCTGGGTCTTAATGTGTAGTCCTCTAGAAATGTAGTGATTTTCTAGACACTTAGGTGCTTTTGAGAATTTTATTCTTCCACCTATGAGGCTGAAATTTGTATTCTTTCAATACCCCAATTTACATCTACTATATATATGATAAACTGAGATTTGAAATAAATCAGGCCCTCTATGGCAATTCATAAGCTAGATCAGGGACCTGAGGGCACCCCCAGGCCTGGCTGTCCCTGCCCAGGCCCCTTGGGCTCCCCCCATCTGCCCAGGACCCCAGTCATCCCCTGGGGCTGTCAGCCCCTGCCCCAGCAATGCCACAGCAGGGCTGATCTCCAGCTCCCCACAGCCCTACCTGGCCAAGGGGTCTGCCAAGCTGGGCCTGCTCATGGGCTGACATCCCAGCCTGGCCTCAGCTGTTCCCAGAGAGGTGCCCAGTGCCCGGGGCTGGAGCTGCCCTGCTCCTGGCTGGGCTGGTGGGATGGACCCTGGCTGCCGGGTCCTGTCCTGATGGCCGTATCACCACACTCTGCTCCCAGCGCCCTGTTGCTTTGGGAGCAGCTGGCCCTCAGTGTCCTGACATGCTGCCCCCAAGGTGAACTGCAGAACTTTGTTTTAATTGAGCCCCTTTTAAATAATAGGTTAAGAAATAAGCATTTTGGCAAGTATTTTTGTGATCTTTTATAACAAAGAATAGTCAATGCATTTCCCCTCTTTTTTTTACAGCTTTGAACAACACATTAGACTGACACCTCAGTGGCTAACCTTCCCTCTATTTGAATGTCTAAACAGAAACCAAATGTGCAAAAGGGGATATCATTAAGCAGAAACACCTTGCAGATTTTAAATAGTCTGATCTTGAATTATAAATTAATTTTTTCTTGAAAATGTTTATAAATATTTGCATTTCATTAAACTACACATTCATTTTGTGTATGTCATTACATTGGTTATCCCCTGCAATGACATTTCTGTCTCTTGCCATGATTCTAAACAGGAACATGAAAATACCTTCCTCTTTATGTACATTAAAAGATGTTGTGTAAATGCTACAGTTAATTAGGTTGCATTATACAGTGATGTATTCCAAAGGAGCCAGAGATGTAGCTAGGCAAAACCTGCTTAAATTTGGGCAGCTCTAATGCATTATGTAATCATAATTCCATTAGGAACACAGATTTTAAGAAAATAAGGAAAGCATACATTAGTAACTAGGATAAGCTAATGCTTTTTTGCGTGTGTTATCCCTGTCACATTCACACTGTAGAAATCACATGTGCTGCCTTGTGAACCACAGACCTATTCAAAGCAATAACTTACGGAAGGTGGTAATGCGTGCTGTCTGGATCTAACCTTCAACAGATCTTTTATAGTCCTGCCCTTTAAAAACCTCTCAGTTCTGAGTAGGTCTAGAAACTTCAGAAATATACAGGCAGAATAATGGATTCAAATGAATATCTGACATCATCTGAGACAGAATATTGAACATGGCAACAAATGCACATAGAGTACTTGGTTTTGGTTCAGGTATTTGAGCCTTATTATGACAAAAGTGTTGTCTCCCTGGCATTTGGTTTGTTTCAAACTGGGTCTCAGGGATCAAAAATACTGAAAATATTTTTAAGTAAGGCAGCTGTACCTTTGCCATTAGATATAAGTTATAATAATTCTGCTTGATGGTGATTTATGGTGAGAAGATATTTTTAACAAAATAAGAATCATAGTTAAGAAAAAGACTTGAAAAGACAATAATGGTTTAAAAATAAATGTATCTAAAAATGCAAACAGGTTTCCTCCAGAGGAGGTGGCAGTCTAACTAACAGTGCTGTTCTTAATTTCTTTTCCTTATCACAAAGGTGATAGGGAACAATCATCCCCAGCCCTAAATCTGGAGATTTCACAGGCAATGTCTTTGTGGCAATCTCTCATTTTCTTTTGCCCTGTATCTTCTTTGCTTTTACTCAGCATAGTTACCATAGAGACAAACAATCCTCAAAGGCTTTCTGCCCCCATGTTCTCTGAGTTGCTGGGGAAGCAAAGGCTTTAATATCTTTTCTCCCAGTGTTCTGCTAGTATTAAATGTGAGTTGTTCTGCCCTCAGTCCATATTCAGCAACAAAAAAGATGAAAAAAATCCTTCCCTCTCAAACCCTGCCAAAACTGAATCGGGGACACCATAAGGCAGCTTGTCTTCTTCATTAGAATTTAACTATAAAAATAAACAGAAAGGCAAAATGTAGGATAAAAGTGACACTTCCATTCCTTGGAACTGATACATATTTCATTATTAACATATTTTAATTTGTCTTTTTGAAACAGACCATGTAGTTTGCTTATGCAGACTTTTCACTACTTATAAGTATATGGTGCCAAATAATTTTCAGCATATTATAATGAAATGTACTTAGTAGAAAACTTATACTGATTTACAGTGTTTGGGAAAAAGAGCAATTTAGTTTACCGATTAAGCTGATTTTTTCTAATGCATAAAAATGTGTATATTTAACAACCTGCTATTTAAAATAAAATGTTTCACATTGGATTGATTTATCTTTTGGACTTTAATATATTCTAGAAATTCTAATAGATAAAAGCTAAAATGTACATTTTAAAAACTAAGGACCATTAAAGATTAGTTGCTTTCAAAGTGTTTTTTGAGAGAAGGCTACTAAAGGATTTCATGTATCTTTTCATTAGCTTGTGATTCTGTGGAGTTCCATGTGCTGCAGAATTTTACCTTTTACCAAAAAGAAGAAAACATGACTCTGTGTGGAATCTAGCAAACTGTTAGCAGGACAATGGATGACTAAAGAAAACACAGGACATATGTTGATCATTCATATCCAAAGTCAAAATTCATCCATTCCCGTTTTTCCCAAGATCAACTGCCACAGGGAATGGACAAGTAATTTCTGATTAATGTGGATATAATACTAATTTTTAAATGGTCTGTTGAATTGGGGTTTGTTAAAATCACATGTAGGTGTTTTGAATACAGCAATTTGATTATTTCCTGGTTTGGGGTTTTTTTTTCCCCATTTTTTTTTCTGGTATTTTTTTCTTCTATTTTTTCCATGAGAGTGACTTTAAAGTTTTTTTTTTTTTCCTCTCATTTCCCTTCCTCATCACTTCATCCTGTAGAACAGAAGAATTTATGTCAACCTGGAATTTCAGCAATGCTCACTTTATTATTTCCATAGATTTCTGTACGTATTTATTAATTTGGTATTTAGGCAGTAGAGGCAACAGTGGGATTTTGTTGTTTTTCTAAGTGCAAATGCCTGGAGCATTATTTTTAACAGAAAATAACATGCCTTGAATTGCATTTATAAGTGTTTAAATAACTTGAACCTGACTATCGCATTATAAACTTATATAAAAGAAAGGAATTATATCACAGCCAATTTTCAAATAAAGTAAAAGTTCGCAGAAAAGGAAAACATAGAATTCTTGATGCTAGCAAGTAAGAGAGATTAAATGTGCTACAAGGCCAACCTGTAGGTTTAGATTCTTCTTTATAACCTGCAGAGTCACTGGACTGTTTTCGGGACATTTGTTCAGTTTCAGGTGGAAGCTGCTCATCCTTGTCCTCAAATTCTGTTGGCACAAATAAAATCATTAGTAACTTTGACAAAACCATTGAGGGGTGATAGAGGCACTATAGAAATAAGGATATTTTAGGATCACACTGCAAAACTTATATTTGATGACCTGCAAATAAAGGAGTTAGTTACTTTAATGCTCAGGTATTGCACATCGACCGAAACATTTCAAGATCAGCTACCTGATCTGTGGGGAAAGGCAGACCATCTATCAGATGTCACATGACTGTGAATAAAGTGGAGAATTACGTTATTTAATTCAGTGCTTCAGCATAAGAATATTTTTCATTCATTATAATCTATGTGTTCTGTGCTCAAACTATTCTCAAAAACAAGACCTTGCAAAAGAGCGCACTTGGTGTTCTACAGAGCAGCTCCTACTGGATGGAAGTGCTTCTGATTTGAAGAAGGGCTTGTGCACCTGAAGGCTAGTGTAATTTTTCCAACTGTATCAGTTGGTCAATAAAGAATATTACTTTTTCCTACAAGCCTTGTTTTTCTTATGTCCTTAGGCCATTGTTAGAGTAATAAAACACCAGTAGTACATCTCAACATGTTATGATTACCCAAAACTCAAATCCTATTTAACAAGAATGCATTTTGAAATCTGAAATTATGGCATTTGTTTTCATGTACAACTCTTTTTTTGGCAAAGTAACCACAAATATAATGAAAAACAAGTTGGACACACTGAATTCCTGATTTATGCATAATCAGGAAACTTTATCTCGTAAACAAGCATCTTCTTCCTATATGGTTAGCAGATGAAAAATCACAACCTTTAGCATGTCTCAAATTGAGAAAATTCTTCATTTGTTCTAGTTCTTTATTTCCTTTTGATATATACAGGAATGCAGTCAAGCAAAATTAGTTTTGATGTTCTGTAATAAATAATTCAAGAGTCCATAATATACACAAAGAGGAAAACGACATGCAGAAAAATATGTGCAAGATGGAAGGCACTTTGTTAAGGCTGTCAACATGCAAATTCTCACATGCATACATAACTTAATCACAGACAGTCCAAGAGACTTCGATGGAAATAGCTGTGGCACAGAAGCTAAGCATGTCTAAATTTTTACAGTGTGTCTAAACACGTAAGAGGTTTCATTTACAAGACTGGTGCTTGATAGGGTCAAGGAAGACAGATGGACAGACATTAAACAAAGCAAATTAAGATGTCCTTTTTCTCATAGATGTTCAGAAAGTGTCAAGAGCTTTCAGAGAGGCTGGTAGCTCTAATCATAAGCTTTTGTTCTCTTTTTCTGCAAAGGAATGCATAGCTGTACTAACCCAATATCCCTTAGCCTTTATTTCTCTGAATGAGAGACTAAAATAATTTAAGAACTGAAGGTATTTGCGATCTAATTGAAAAAGTTGTTTCAGATTTTGAAATTTCTCTTCCTAAAATGCTGTGATTACAGGTATTAGAAAGTAATTATCATATCTGGCTTATGAAGGAGGGCAGAAAGTGGCTTTGAAGCTCATGCAATCTTTGCTCAGAGACTGAACAAACTCTGAAGTTAATATCACAACAGCTTGCTTTGAAGTTTGTGATACAAGTAATTTGCTATCTCTTGTCTGCAGATTAATAAACTGTCCTTAGTAAAACTCTCTCACTGAAAAGCTTCCAGTTAGAGGTAGAAAAAAAAACAACAAATCAGCCAAGAAAAACAAAGGAAATACATTTAGAGGCTGTAGGGCTGAGCACACATCAGCTGCCTGGTAAATGTTATAACTGCAATTGATTCCGAAAAGCATTTCTTTTCAAAGACTAGAGAAGAAATGTCCTAACATGTACAGGTTTAATTATTATTCTATTTATTTTTTGTTGTTGTTTAAAATATCTTACTGAATTTAAATTATGATAAAAATTAAAAAGAAAGAACATAAAAGCTAAAGAGATGGGTATTGATTCAACCCTCTGCCATCTGTAATATGAGAAGGGGGGGTAGGATCAATATTAAAGAGTTTATAACAAATATTGGTATTCACAACTTTGAAGGACAAGCACAGGAGGCAATGGCTGAAATTACCAGCTCCAGCTACCCATTTATTTCTTGCAAGAGTTTCTGCTCAAATAGCAGGAGTGGCAGAAGAGACATCAGGGAAGACAGAGTTGTGCTAACACACCACCCTGAGCTACGGTTACTGAGGCATAGGCATATGTATGTTCCAGTTGAGTTTGCCATAGGAAGGGGATAATCTCTGGCAGAAATGCAGAGCTGACAAATAAAGTACAGAAAATAAAGTCTTAAATGATGACAACTGTTTGCTTCAGTGGATAAAATAAATTCTGTGGGATATTTTATTGCTGAAACGTGGCAGGAAAGAAGTATGCCAAGTTTTACTTCAGGAAGATCAGAATGAAACCACAGATCTACCTGAAGCTGTATAACTCTTCTACAATGCCTGAAATATATTCTCAGGAAGTCATATAGCCGTCTCCTAGTATAAATAAATCCATACTCATGCAAATAGCTGCAAACATGCTTAAATACCGTAAGAAATTCCTGAAAAAAATTTAAGCTCAGAATAATTGTGTCAAGGGACATGAAAAAAGATGCGGGGCTGTAATTTTCAGCTACAAGCAAGAGTTACCACATAAATTGTTTTGTGTAACTTCAACAGACATTTTCAGCATTGAACTTAGCTTCCTAACTCACTTAAATATATTTGTTAAATTTACCCAAAGTCTCCTTCTCCATTATTTTCACTCTCACTAAGAAACATGGAAGTACCTTGCTCATTACTGGAATATTTTTTTTTCTTTTAAATACAAACAATATTATAATTTTGAATAAGTTAACCTGAAACAATCCTGGCTACTTCAATGTGCTACTGATGTTACAAAAATGACAATTATCGAAATGCACATTTTTTTATGTAGAATAGAATAGAAAAGAGTAGAGTAGAATAGAATAGAATATTTTATTTGGAAGAGACCTACAACAATCATCCATTCAAACTGCCTGAACAATTCAGGGCTGACCAAGTTAGTTAAATTATGTTATTAAGGGCATTAGCCAAATGCCTCTTTAACACTGACAAGCTTGGGGCATTGACTACCTCTCTAGGAAGCCTGTTTGCCCACCCTCTCAGTGAAGAAATGCTTTCTAATGTCCAGTCGAAACCTCCTCTGGTGCAGTTTTGAACCATTTCCATATGATATGACATGATATGATATGGACATGGCATGACATGATATATGAGACATCAGAAGAGCATGATTTGAGCTGTAGAGTATTTTCCTGAGTTTTCATTTTTATACCATAACTGCTATATAAAAAACCCCCCAAAACTGTGAACATATCGTTCATTTATATTTTTGTAAAGACATGTCACATGGAAGAAAAGCTGCAGTCAATGTGCTGATGGCACTACAGGTGCAATAAAACAGATGTCAGGCTAAGAGCAGCATGATGGAAGTGTTTTGGTGAGTCAGTATTTGATTATTGAAATCAATGGGAAATGTAGGAAAACATGATTTTCTCTGAACAAGGACTTACACGTGTTAAGAGCACAAGTGTGTATATGACATTATTACTTCTATCATTAATAATTGTTGTTTTGATATGCTCAGAGCAAAATGAATTAGGTATTCAAAACTAAGATGAACTTTGTTGTTTGAGACAGAGATAATAGAGTATTTGTGTAGAACCCTTTATACTTTAGAACTCGTTCACTTTGGAGAAAAGCTATGTGTTTATTAGACACTATAAAAAGTTACAATGTAGATTTTTTTAAAAGTTTATATGTAATTTAAAGAATCCTACAAAGCTAGAGTATTTTTTTCAGAGAGTAGGTGAAATGTTACCTAATTAGAAACTAAGCATGTTCTCATATTCAGTCTATCTTATACTACCTTTACGACTTAGGCCTTGTTATATATAAGAAAAATGAACACCAGGTTGGATAATGAAAGAAAGTGTATGTGAGACATACTGACAATACAGAACTTAAGCTTGGACACAACATTATTCTACAGAAGCCAGTATGTTCTCTTTGAAAGGAAGACAGGCAGTCTAGGGCCCCGCTGCTGAGAGAAAAAAAAAAAAGTGGGAATTCATGTGCTTGAATTTTTAATTTCAGGTCCAGGGCTTAAGTGACAATTTATGCTATGATGCAGAAACATTGAGATCCCACAGCGGATGAAGAAAATACTCTAAAGTCCCCAACCTAGTTCTTCATGTAGAGACAGATGCTTGTGTGTGGTATTTCATCTTGACAGCAGATCCAAATGAGACAGCAACAGTCTTCTAAGAAAGTAGGTAGGGATTAAAGAAGGCAAAAAGGAAAGTACAACCCTGCAAATTTTTTGACTGTTGAGGTTCAAAAATGTTGAAAGCAACTGGAATTAATTCTAAAGTTTGACCCAACTGACAGAATTGTCTGAGGTGCAAAAATCCAGCCTATTTGTGCCAGTTGTCCTGCCCCCAAAGTCTCACTCCTTACAGACTATTCACTCATGCCCTGGACGATTGTATTTTCATTGCTGGAAACAAAGTATAGCACAATTCTGATATCAAAGTAGGATCTTTAAAGGAAATAAAGACTGCCAAACAAAAACAATATGCAGTTCTGGCAAAACAGAAAGTAGCAAAGTAAGAAAGTCTTTACTCAAAATGTTTTATTAATATTGTTATTAGAGGGGAAACCTCACGTAATACACATAACTCTGTTATTTTTTGTGTTTTTAGGTTTTGTTATTAAAGGATAATCTCCATAAGCACAAAGGAAGGGAGGAACAATGACAGGTGGGGGAACTCAAATAACTGAATCAGAACAAATATAACCTGGACTTGGCTCCCCTCAGGGTCATTAAAAGAGGATGATGAAGGCATTGTCTTGAGTGTGAGATCTATTGAGATGAGAGGGATTACTGCCTACAGGGTATGAGAGTCATTAGGGGATGCCAGGAGAAACAGTTCAGGATTGTGAGAGACTCCTAATATTATGAGGCGTTTCTGAGAAGGATCAAAGGCAAGGAGGAGGGATCCAAGTGCATTGGGGAGGAACAAGCATGGATAATAGAGCAAGAAGAGGATGGAAGGGGAAATGGGAATACATGCTCAGACTCATTACTGCACAGTCCTGGGGAATTGAGCTGCAGCAGCCTCACCTCTACTGGGCTACTGGATTCAGCAACTCATAATGTATGTTGCTACCAAATTCAGCAATTCTTAATGCGTGTTAAGAGAGCCACTCCTGAAATAATTTCCATTCCCCTTTAGTTGCTTCAGGTTGAGCTTCTTGGAGGAAGAACAGAAAATCAGCCAGTTTTGTGATTTTCCTATTATATATTCACTAAATTCTGACAATGTTTTCTAACTTGTGAGGGGATACAGATTTTTTGATGAGTAGGAAGTTTCAATACAGCTAATAACCCATTAAGAAAAGTTACTGGAGGAGAAAAAGAGTCCTGTCCTTCAGATTTATTGAAAACCCTAACTGTGCTGGCTGATTTAATGTATGTCTCTATTCTGTAACATCCATTAAGAACGGCACATAGAAATGAGTGTCATCAATGAAGGAAGCAAAGTAATAAAAAGTCATTTTTCTAGATGCTGAACGTAAAAAGGAAATAAAAACTGTAAAATCTGCATAAAAACTACATTGATAGATTATCTGAAACACATAATTAGATAAAATAGAAGTCAAATGATACACAGTTTCACCTTTCTCCCCAGCAGCCTCTAGAGATTGATCTTCCTCTGATCTCAGTTTTTCTTGCATTTCTCTTCTGTAAGTGAAAGATTATTCATCTTAAGACTTACATAAATAATACTGAAGCGAGTTGCACATTTATTAAATGAAAAGTAAAGATGTGGAAATACACTGTTGGGAACTGAAATATCATTTGGGTTGTACAAAATAAAAATCAAATATATTTTTATCATCTAAAATGCAATTGCCTCATCGCATCAAAAAGATGGACTAATAAAAGGCTAATAAAATGCATTTAGCGGGAATCTTCTGCCACCATACTTACTGATCTAAATTAGATATTCCTCAAAGTTACCACATATTGGATTATTTTCTATACATCACAACTAGTCTTCATGTACTGTTTTAGTACACTTATGTTGACAGATACACTGATACCTTTAACACAAAGAAAGGCTAGAATTTTCTTGTGCTCATTTTATACATTCAGATATTTGGAATATTTTACCTTACTTCTTCTTCTTTCTTTTCTAATGCTTCATCTGTTAGTCTTTTCAAAATTTTGAAATTAATGTCATCCTTATTTGCTAGGTATGTTCTGTGTAGTAGACAGACTCCTGCAGTACAATTACACAACAGTAATGAGTTTTATGCATCTGTATAAAATGAAAGTAATTTGAATTAGGAAAATTACTTAATAAATGATAGACAACTTTCCTACTTCTTTTTAAAGCTAAGAAAAGGCATATATACCAATGAAATGTTACTATAGTGCTGCTTTCTAGGGTTTTAGAGCTTTGTTTTCAATTTCAAGCACCAAATAAACTGAGTCTGGGATATGGGAAGGTTATGATGAAGGCTATATCATGCATTACTCTGGCATTTATTTTCTTCATATGTGTAAGAAGAAAACTCTGAAGAAACAAATGAAAAACTTTCAAATAAAAATATAAAGAATGTTTATACCTTTACTGCTGCAGCTGGTTGACAGAAATAAATATGCTGTTCCTATTAGGAACTCTACTGACTTATTTACTTTGGCAAATAGATCTATGATATGTGGCTGTGTGGCTGATATCCATTTCCATCAGTGGAGTTATGCCAGTTTAGACTAGTTCAGAGAATAGCTTACGAAATAATGACTCAAAATGCTGTGAAAATGTAAACTCCACAACTACATCTTAATTTAAGTGACAGAAATTAGTGGGAATCAAAAAAAGAGTTAACACAATTTCCCCCCCCCCAAAAAAAAAAAGAGCAAAATGAAACAAAATAGCTCAATTCAAGGAAACATATCCATAAGCAAAAAGCCAAATGGTATAGCAGACATTATGATCTTGTTTCTTTCACCTCACTTTACTCATACTTGTCCCTCCCATATCTCATGTGATCACTATCGTTGACTAACATAAAATGTACTTTTTTCTAAATTTGAACTGTGAGAAACATGTTACTTAACTGTTAGGAACATCGGTGTTGATTTGAAGCAGATGATAATTTTGTGTGAAGGGTTTATACTTTAAACCAGCACTTTCAATTAAATGTATTTTTGAAAAAGAGAGGGTGAGTGAAGGGAATTTCTTAAAAATGCAGTTTGTAAACTCATCTTTAGATAATTCTGTCTTGGTATTCTTCTGCAAAAAAGTTGTGAGCATTTTCAGTGGCTTTGCCTGGTGGCCCAGGCATGCACTTGTGTTTTCTCACAGCATTATGAAAAACAGCAATGCCAAAGAGCATTAATTTACTTCATTATTCAGAGTCCAAATTACATTGGACTGAAGTGAAGCAGCTTTAATTACAGAATTATCATATGCAGAACATCCAGAAGAATCATAACTAACCATTCTTTCTTCCTTCAGTACCAGCACATGTTTCTCTCTCAAAGGATTCAATATTGTTTCATCTGATGAAGGATTTCAATATTACTTGAACAAACTGAGCAAGGAACCTATAAGCCTTTAAAATAATGGATAATCATAGAATCATAGAATCATAAATTAGCAAAGCCCTAAGTGTCTGACCTGAGAATTATCTGCTGCTGGTATTAACTAGACATAAGCTAGCTTGCTAATGGAACAGGTTTGTAGGTAGCTCAGTGATTCTAGTTGAAGGAACAATGTTGTTGCAATGACCTGTTTTAATGCAACTGGAAGTGTGTTAAGAAATGTCTGTGCCAGTATTATATTTCACTTCAATTAGCTATAATAGGCTACAAATAGTATGACTTGTATTCAATTTGCACATGACTTGTTTCAAGCTGAGACAGTAAAAATATATGCCTTATCATTTAAAGTATGTTAATTCACTTCCTCCCACCAGTGAATGACTCTTTGAAGAAAAATAAGTTGTCATTGATTCATATGAAAGCCTGATACAGCTCCAGGGATAAAATTAGGGTATAGACACATTATCATCTCAAATACATTAAAAATGGGAATGGTGTATTTCCTTCCAAGCCTGAAATCTACTTACACATAGGGCTAAACGGGTTGTAAGTAAGAAAGCAGTCTTTTTTTTTGCTGTGTGATATAAAGACTATAAAACTGTTAGTTCAAACAGAGGTACCATCAGGGTTGTGAGCACAAAATTTAAGTTTCATGAAGGACCTCTCTAACTTCTAGGAAAGGCTTACACTTATGCTTTAAGGAATCTGCCATCTATCAGACTAGAGAAACACAAGGTGTCTGCATGGAAGAGGTGGCTACCAAGAGCATAAAATAGATTGTTCAGATTAGAACAAGTAATGGAGAGATAGGTTTTGAGAACTAGTGGGAATGGCAGAAAGGTGTGCATTACAGGAAGGAAGCACAAAATTTGAAATCCTTAAAGAGATCTTAGTTTGAAAGCCTCTGCTATGGACTTCCACATTCTTCCCTTCCCAAAATAAAAAAATGGAACAGTTACTAGTGACAAGTTTTCAACACGGTTCCCATGAGGAATTATGTATTCCCAAAATGTCTGATCTAGAATAAAGCCCTTCAGGGATGATGAGACAACTTTTTCTTTTATCCAATTAATTCAATAATTTGCTAAATTCTGAGATGTGAAGAGAAAGTTAACATAATTCTGAAAGCATGTCTCCCACCTCAGTCCTCTCCCTGCAGAAAAAGATAGAGCTTGACTCTTGCTGTTATTTAGTACACTGTATTAACATTAAATTACTGTATGCCAACTATACGAGTAAGGTGCTTTTTGTGGTTGTAAGAAAGGACAATGCACTGTACCCCAGAAACTAGGTTCATGAACATGCTTGAAACATCTGGGAAGCAAAGAGGAGGCATGGAAATGCAATTTGTCCTTAAGTTCTTTCTGGAAGTACCCAAGATGAGGTCTTCTTTAATGATAGGAATAGCAAATATTATTTTCTGACAAACATTGGATCTAGAACTTTCTCATAGAAATGTTCAGTCTGTCTTTAGTCTGTACTCAAGCTACAGCCACACTGGAAGACTTTTAGTTTAGATGTATAAGGTCTTAGAAAATTTCACAAAACTATGTGACTAAGTAGTTTAAGTACTGTAGCTGAGTTGTGAGGATTAGCTGATCAGATGACATGCTTCTGAAAAGCTTTTTTTTTTAAAAAAAAAAAAAAAGAAAACTCTGAGTAAACTGTGTAACCTTGATTTGCTCAGGTTGATTTTTATATTCAGGGACTAGGGTTTGAAAATCTTGCTGGACTGATTCTAGTATCAGGCAGTTACTGAGCTTTCTTGAACTAAGTAGAAATAGACCTATCATTCCTTTCCTGAAGGGAAGCTTTTAGTACTGAAAGACCTTTTGATAACGGACTAGGTTGAATAGGTAACGATCTAACATTGCCACAGGGCAATGAAGCTTGTGGTGTGGTATGAATCAAGCAGGCATAATCCATTAAAGCATGATTTGTCAGGCAAAACTTTTAACAGTGTATGAATCTGTTCAGTTTTTCATGCTTGGTACCAACTTTCCTTCCTGCTTGAAACAATACAGTAAAAATCCCTTCCTCTGAATTCGTGGGTACTAAGCTGTTGTATCAATCTGGATAAGAAGTTGCTCAACCTTTTTTGACCCCAAGATGGGGAACAGGATACACCTGCATACAGGTATTTCTCCCCTCCCCCTTTTGCCTTAGGCACAGAAAGTTCAAATCTATAGCCTGATTTTGCAAGTGGGGAAACCAATGTGCAGGCAAGGAAATTTGACTAAGAGCCACAATGCAAGCTGGTGGCCAGCCAGACACAGAAGTCTGAAACTGCAAGAGTCCAGCAGTATTTACTGCTGATTGTAAATAGGAGGAAATTGTAAATAGGATTATAAATAGGAGGAATTTTCTTTACTGCTTTTGTAAAGCATTCCTGTTTTCAGGAATTGTGTAATTACCTTAATCCAAATTGTAAGAAATTTGGAGTACCCTTGTTGATTCACTGGATTCTTCCTTCTCTAGACCCCTGAAACTTTATAAATGGAACACAGCTACTATTTTTTCTTGAAAGTGTGCTTTATATACAGGTATCGACACAGGAAAAAAAAAGAAAATGTTAAGTTTCATTAGTCTGCATTTACTAACCATCTTTTTCTGTATCCTTCAGACAGACGACAGTGTCGGGTAAAAGTCCTTTTTCTGATAAAGCTCTCCAGTGATCTACTGATAGAGGGTAGTTATCCACTACCCATCCTCCTTTTTCTGGAGCACCAGGAAACCTGTCTTTGTTCTTCTTCATAAGCTGTAATAACATGTCAGGTTCAGTAACAGAAAGAGACTAAGTCTGTGAGCTCTTCAAAAAGACTGCACAATACAAAATGAATTTCTGAATGTTATTATTTTTTGCTATTGTAATTACATGTCAATAAAAAGACATTTATAACTTTATATGTCCGAATGAAATAAAAAAATTTTACACAAAAATAAATTAATGTGCCAGTGATTTTTTAAGGTTGCCTATAAAGAAACTAGATTCCAGTTTCAATAGTTACAAACCAGTGAACAAGTTTAAAACAATTCTAGGTTCTTGGATAAACCTTCATATACAATTCTTTTCATACACTTGTATCTGGTGTTGAGCTCTTTAATAGTGACTAACAGTATAAGAAGAGGGCAAGCATATAGTGATACATCCCTCAGACATTTCTCGCAGCCTTCAACAATTTGTAGCCCAGGTACTTCGCAAGACAAGAATAATTTGTACATATCTATGTAGCAGTCCTCAATAGATTTGTCTTTCATGATCTTGCTCAGTCTCTCCTCAATCCTATGTAAGATTTCAGACTACATGAAATAAACGAAACTGATCTTTAAACATGAAAATTAAGAAAAAATATCAATAATGTATAAACTGTTACAGGTTGCTCTTAGAAAAAAGTGCTTTGCTATATAGTACTTGTAGTTTTACCTCTGCAATAGCTCTCTCCAGTACTTCGGCATATATTTCAGATGACAGTATAACTTTGGAGACTAATGCACTTTTTATGGCTTCTTCTACCATTGCTTGAACTTCTGGGTGGTCAGCAGTTACCTCTGAGATTCCTAACAATATAGATTTTTTAAAGCATTTCACAAAATTATGAAATACTCATTTCCTCTGGTCAGGAGTAACTGCTAGGCAATTAAATCCAGCCACTTCATAACTACAGTGCAGCAGTCATTTTAAGCAATATTACACAATCATACTGAGAATCAAATAACAGTTTTCCTGAATGCAATTCTAGAGGGTATTTCGTAAAGATAAGTCTTAAGATCTTGGTTTGCTCTCTCATTACAAAAAACCCCTTTTTAACTGTAAAGTATTTTTTGCCACATTTTTTGTCCATTTGAACCATAACTAGAGCTAACTGGAAAAGGCAGTTCCAATTAAATGGAAAATTTTCATTTCAAAACAAATAATTTTGAAAAAACCAACAAAATTTCCTGCAAAAAGAAAATACAAATTTTGCTTAAAAGATATTAAACGAACATGTTACTTTCACCTTTTCAAAATATTATATTAATTCATCAAGCTGTAAAAAACCTGGGCAGTTTAAGAAGTCTAAATGTGACCAGAGCTGAAGAGTCTTGTGAATGTGCCATCTGAGACAGCATACTTGGAAGGCTGCTCCCAAGTGGAAAATCTGTAGATTTACATCAGCCTAGCTGACAAGCTGCTTTCTTGAAGAAAAATTTCAATTTTGCAGAGATTTAAATTGTCAGAAAGTCATTCAAATGGAAAGTTTCCAACCAGTATCAGTCAGAACCAATTTCTTCTTTGAAAAAGAGCTCAGAAAACTCTTTCTTACATCCTCATAGCCCTCAGCTTCAGAGGATTTATATATAATATAAAAAATACTGAATTCTACTCAGCTACTCCCTTCACTGCATGTTCTTTTAGTTCATATTTTATGCAGAACAACTGTAACAACTTCTGTAACATTTTGTAAGTTGAAATGACAGCAATTGCTTCAGTTAAATAACCTAAAGCAAATAAGATAGCTTTGAAGACCTGAAACACCTTATTTACCTGGTTCTCTTGACTGTTTTTCTAATTCCAACCTATTTTTCACTGCTGTTATAGCCTTTTCTACTGTATCCCTTCGCACTTGCTCAATGTTTTCTTCTCTTGCTTCTTTCACACGGTGTTGAATGAGTTTGGCCATATCAAGAACCTAGTGAATTGATTTGAAAAAAAAAAAATATCACGGAAGAGAAATATAGCATCTGATCCAACTTCTATACAATGAAAAGAATTTGGAAAAGCTCTGCAAATTTCAGAAAAATTTACATATAATTAAAGTGCAGTGTTTTTTTTTTTTGTGGAAAAAATTATTTCTAATATGCACATAATTATCTTAGTAACAAATGTTATTCATAATATTCTTATGCTAAGACAAATAACTGACACATAAATATTTGTCTTACATAGACATAATAAATATTTTTTAAATTTAACTACTTTTATATAAATGAATTTCACTAAATTACTACGTTTCCTCTGTAATCCATATCTATGCAATGTGTATGTTAATAACAAAACAGGAATAAGAATGTGCTTAACTGATTCTCAAGCTTCAGCTGATACCCTTGTTACACAAGACATTTATAAACCTACCTGTCCTTTATATTTGTGTGCAATTAGGTTACAAATAGTTGTTCTTCCAGAGAATGGAGGACCAAATACTAGTACTTTACAAGGAGGAAGCGGCATTGGTGGTAACAGGTAAGGCCGTGGATTCAACACAAATGTTTTCAATGCCTCTGGGGATGACAGTATGTACATTTTACCTAGAAAACTTAAAACAGAAGAGAAGCTAACAGATATAGACAGTTATAAAATAGAAATACAAATAAAAAGTGTCAAATTCCGCTAACCTGACAGCCAAGTCTGGGTTTCCCATTACAATATCACCTTCCTTTAGAGCCACAGGACATGCTTGCCCCCACCTGCTTCTACGCCATCGATATCTGTGTGCTATTAGTTTGAGAGATGACAGAACCCGGAAAAGTTCATCCTGTTTATTAAAACAGCAATAACAGCATATGTAATTTTTGTCTGAAGCTACACATACCTTGTTCCTAGCCTTTTTTGAAATATTTTATTGGAAAATAAGCAAACTTAAAAGGAAAACCACATTATGCTTTTTATAATATTTTTAAAAAATATATATTTCCGAATTGTAGGACAAATTTAAAGAGAAACTACTTAGTTTTTCAATTTTATTTAATAAAAATAGTACTTAAAATAGTTCCTGTGGGCTTCATTTATTATTTTCAGAATTTAAAACTCTAGAGGTACAAATCAGCCATTTATTGAAGATGACAGAAAATAGCCAAGATCTCTTCTAAAGGGATGAAGAAAGGACCACGGTATGTGTGGGGGAATAGCAAGGCCAAAATATCTCTTTTAGGCATGGAGAAATGTCATGTGATAGGTGTAAGTTTAATAGGCCTTTTACAGAAAGCAAATAGTGAGTGACTCCTAAAGTTTATGGTGACTCTAAATTATGCAGAATAGTACAGATGAGTGCTGGCTGTGACGAACTGCAGAAGTACCTTCAGAATCTAAGAAGCCAGGCATTAAAATAGCAGCTTTCCACAGAAAATGATGAGTTGTCATTGACTGTCATTGCTCAGGAATAGATCTTGGAATTATAATACATACTTCAATGAAAACATCTGGTCAATGTCCCAGATCAGTCAGAAAACCAACCTGAATGTTAGGAATGCTTAGAAAAGAGAATAATAGAATCATAGAATTATAGAATCATAGA